CAAGAACCAAGCCTCTTAATTTGCGCGGATTTCCTTTTGATTTAAGCTTAAATCTGATTGAATCGAGAGTCTTTTTTCTTGTCAATGTTTTCAAGATTTTAGACTCTCGATCCAATGTGTTTTTTTTTTTTTTTTTTTTTTTTTTTTTTTTTTTTTTTTTCAGTGCATCATTTAAACGAACTATTTCAAAGACTGTGGGGCACGGTTCAAGAATGTATTTTTGAAAATAGATTTTTGCAAGTGATCACAATGATTTGCCATTGAAAATATGGGTAAATTCCGCATATTTTGAAAATTTTACAGTAGGTATGAACTTCCCTTAAAAGTTTCGAAGTCGGCAAAATGTATTCGTCTCTGGTTTCAATATTTTATAGAGAAAGCTCTCTTCCAAAGATATACCGTCGGTTTCACTTAAAATTTATCAAAATGACTCTTTGTATGATGCCATGTTGAGTACCTTTTCAAACTTTCGTTAATTACTTTGTACACCATAAGGGGGCGCTCATAACTTACGTAACGTTATATTTCGGATTTTTTTGCCACCCCCCGCTCCCTCTTAACGCTTTTTTGATGTAAGCTTTCATCCTTTGACACCTAAAAATAAGATGGCGAAACGCATACTTTGAACCCTCTTTTTTAGCGCTTCGTATTATTTGAACAGCCCCTAAGGACCAAAAAAAAGATGCCGAAAAAGATGCTCGATTGGGTTCCTCCTGGGAGGAGACGAAGGGGACGCCCAGTGAAAGGGTGGCGACAGGAGGTTTTGAATGAAATGGACGTATTTATGCTAAAAAGAACTATGCTGCACGTAAACCCTATGCACATAGTTGTTCCTTTTAGCATAAATAGGAACTACGTGAACAGGGTTAACGTGCAACATAGTTCCTTTTAGCATAAATACGTCCAAATGAGGGGATGCTAACCCCCTGACGGGTCGTGGGAGGACCGAGTTTTGTGGCAATTAGGCGTCGCAGAGCGCCAGAGAGCGCCATGAAAGCGACTCTTACGTATTTTTTGAACAGCCCCTAAGGTAAAGGACTGTCCTAGGAACGATCATGAATACAACCCTAAGAATCGCCCCATTGTTGAGTATCATGTCGAGCACCCGTCTTGCGGATCCGTAAAATAATCCACCCGCGTGCACGATACGGCAGCGCGATGGGAGACTCGGCCCTGCCTTGTAAACAGACCCCTCACGGCACACAACACACAACAATGCGCGAGTAATTGAATGGAGCTACCGATGGAGTCTGCAGCTCGGCTCTGCAAATAAACGCTCCGCTCGACCGGCCGCGCTCGGTAAGAAACACGCATCTCCCCGTCTAAAACCACGCGCAGATACGCGCTTTGCGCCCGGAGCGACCGAGTCTAGCGTTTTGACGCGCCAACGAGCCATTGATGAGAGCGGGATACGGAACAGGAACGCTACCGTGCCCACTAAGGAAAAACGCCGCATGAGCCTGAGGCGTTGCCAAATCTTGTTCGATAAATCACGAAATATTGGGGAAATTGGTGCATGTTTTTCTTCTAATTTTTCGGAGAGTTCCGTTCGTAATTTGATGGTGCACTGAAAAAAAAATCCTCGGCGTTTTTACCGAGGTCCGTTGGTACCTTTACCACCTCACTTTCTTTACCAATTATTGGTAATTTTACCAAGACAGACTAGTAAGCTTACCTAAAAACCGGTATTTTTACCGTTTTTTTCAGGTAAGAATACCACTTTTATTGGTAATCAATTCCCGGTGACTTAGCCATTTTATTCCGGTAATTTTACCACGGTCGATAAAAAATATTGGCATTTTTACCAAGATCCAGTAAAATTACCGAGAAAGTTCAACAATTATACCGAGAAAAAACTGGGATCAAATAGAACCCCGAATTCTTGGTAATTTTACCCTTTTCTTAGTAAATACACAGAGATTTTTTTTTCAGTGTGTTCAGTGGAAATGTTCTTTTTTAAATGTCTAATCTACAAAATGTCAAACGAGGAATGTCCGATGCAGTTTCGGTCCATTGCAACTAAATGTCCATAAAGAGAAATGTCCAGTCGTAGATTTCGTCCATGAGACTGAAAACTCTAGGGTGTTGAATATCTAGAAGGAGGTAGGTGAAATTAGAAATGACGGAGAAGGTTATAAGCAGAAATGAACATGTAAGTTTTCACAACGCTGCCCTTAGACGAAGCTTATAGTGGACTTTTTTGCGTACTTAGCTAGTCGATGATCGGGCACTACTTTTAGGGGCATTTTTGTATAATGGACAAATGGATTGCATTCTGCAAAAAGGAACCACTAGCATTGCAATGATGCTAAGATTGTGCAACTTCATCCTTTGCAATAAAATTGCGGAAATCGTGAAAAACTATGAAATTTAGATGGTAATTTTTGTCTTAAATTCACAGTTTTTAGCGAGTAAAATAGAAACTATTAATGGATAATCGGGTTTTTCCTCCAAGACTAAAGAAGTTGCACAATCTTAACAACATTGCAATGCTAGTGGTTCTTTTTTGCAAAATGCAATCCAAATTATAGTGGGCGTTTATTTGCTATGAACAACTTGTAAATTGGATATTTTAGAGCGGACATTTCTTGTTGGACATTTTGGACATTGGAAATTCTAAATAGGACATTTCAACATTTACCAATCCCATCTAAAGTGTCTGAAAATTTCAAGGAAAAATATTCATTAAGTTCTGCAAAAATGGAGATTTCCTGAGAGGCAATTTGGCAACATTCGAATGCTCGTACGGCGTTTTTCCCGCGGACGGCGGAACGATCATCCGGACACGGATCGGGAGACCGGTGTTCTGTTCCCGGTGCACTCGCCGGAGCAGACGCAGAGGAAATTAGGTTACGGCTTTTCATCAACTTCTAATTAAGTTCTCCGTCCCGGCTCTGATATCCGAGCCATTTCGGAGCCGATCGGCGTGAATTTCCACCACGTGTTTCGCCGGACAATATTTCATCTCCTCGCGTGCGTCACCTCAAACGGCCGATCCGACGACAGTCGTAATGAAGAGCCCGGATTGAATTTTATTCCATATTTCGACGGTGAAAGTCGGCAATCACATAACTCGTTTGCGGTGTCTGAAAATCTCCGCCTCTACGTCATTTTTTTAAAGGAGAACAAATTGATATTATTTCTTGAAGTTTTTGCAGAATTTTCTTCGCATTGAGAAGAAAAATCACGACAGTTTTAAAGAATTGCCGTTGAGTAGTTTTCCGTTTAAAAAATAAAGTATGACAGGAAGTCTGCGACGTCGCAAACCGAGTTATGTGATTGCCGACTTTCACCGTCGATTTGTTCCTCGCTTATCACCCAGTGATGAAGTACCTGGACAATGTGGACATTGCCTCCTCGTGGGCAGGTTTTGGATTTGCGAGTTTCATTCTTTTTTCGTCTTTATTCCCAGTCTTTTTTGTATGGCGGGTTATCCGGTTACATTCTATTTGCGGCCTGCGGGCTGATTATTTAAATTGATAGGCAAAACTATAGACAAAGAAGACAATGAGAGTAGGGACCGATCCTATTGGTTGAAATGGGTGGTTCCCATAGACCAAGGGAGAAAATGATGGACCAACTATAGAGCGTCTCGTGGGTTGCTAGTTTATCTATTACCTACCTTTTTTGTCCATTCCAACCATCCGCTTCCACCAAAAGGATTCCTCCAAATCCCTTTTGGCTTCGTTGTCTATAGCTTTGTCTATATGTCAATTTCAATGATGGGCCCGCTGTTTGAAGCGGCGCGCAGTGGATCGAGTCGGTGGGAGAAGACGGACAAAATTTAGAGACTTTGAAAACTTCTAACTCCGTTAATACAAAACGTTGAAGTTTTTAAAGTGGTTTCATTGGTTTTCTCGTAAAATTATCTGTCGAATGTGCCCCTTCAAATGTAAGATTTGACAAAATAAACATCACAATTTGTAAAAAATTAAAAAATGTCCGACTTGTCCCATTGACTTGATCCATTGTGCGGAGTTAGACTGGAAACTTTATGGGACCTTTATTGGAGACTTTTTAATGAGCTGTATTTCCTCTTCTTCAATAATGCAAGTTTGGCCCTTTTTACTCTGGCACATTGAAACCCGAGATTTGGGATTTTGGCAATTTAACATTGTCAAATATGACGGAAATCTTGCATGTGATAATGGATGTACAAATGATCATTCAACAGAATATGTTTCCTCGTTCGTGATTTTAATTTTCTTTGGAAAATTTTATGAATTGCGCGTGCTATTTTGAACCTGGATCGTTCGCTTCAAGTTTCCAAATGGATAAATGAAGCCAAAAGGAAAGACGGGGTGTGCCTGTGCTCGTTATTTGAGGGCCGTAAGGATGAATAGGAATTAGAAAGCGCCAGTGACATCAGCGGTGACAACCGGGCTTGACGAGCTTAACGATGCCGCAATAATTCATGAGCCCTGTCCACAACGATCTTGTCATATGCCCGCGGCTCATAAATGCCGCATATAGTTGGCACTTAGTTCCGTTTGATTTAATGTGAATTCTCGCTTTTTCATTTCCCCAAAAGGGAATCACGACCCCTTTCACACTGTTCCCTATGCAGCTTTCTAGAGCACATCCCATTTTTCCCTTTCGTCTGTAGCTCCGTTTAGTAGAAATACGTCCATTTTCAGGGTGTCTAGCATCAGCAAAACCGGAAAATATCAGGAATTTTGGCCGATCAGGAAAATCGGAAAAATCGGACGTTTTATCAGGAATTTTTCTTACGCGAATCTCCCCAGCGGAGAAGTCTTACTGCTTTTTGCCTACCGTGCCAGGAGTCGTCGCGCCGTCTTTGTTTCTGATGATTTCTCAATGAAAAATCAGGAATTTTCAAGATCAAAAAATCAGGAATTTTTTATAAAATATCAGGAAAAACCAGGAAAATATCATGATTTTTCAAAATTAAAAAATACTAGACACCCTGATTTTAAAGAGACATCCAGTGTTATCATCATCATCAAAACTAATAGCGTGTTTTTTTCTCTCTGTTGCAGATGAGGGTTTTCAGCTGACCCGTCAGAAACATGGAACTACAGAGCATCGGCGCATGGCAGGTGATAGTGTCGATCGTCTTCCTCCAGATCTCGATCTCTGAGCCGAAGAAGGATGCGCACTGCGGCCCGTCCGGCCCGGTCAACCAGCCGCGGTTCACCAAGTGCGTCTACAACGCCACCATCCCGGAGAACTCCATCAAGGGCAAGACCTACGTCACGCCGGAAGAGAAGATGGGCATCTACCGCGGCAACTACGACGTGGACGTCAAGTTCAAGATCATCTCCGGCGACAAGATGAAGTTCTTCAGGGCCGACGACCGGCTCGTCGGGGATTTCTGGTTCCTGTTGATCCGGACGAAGACGAGCAACTCGGAGGTCCTGAACCGCGAGAGGGAGGACAAGTACGAACTGGAAGTCAAAGCCACGATCACCGCCCGAAACGAACGCGACAAGCGGCACACATTCCACGAGTCCATAGCCAAAGTAGTAGTAACGGTGCTGGACACCAACGATCTCATCCCCTCTTTTTACCCCTACTCGTATGAGGAATTCGTACCTGAAGACACGCCGCTTCACGCTAGTATCCTGAGGGTGTCAGCCGACGATGCCGACCTCGGGCGGAACGGAGAGATCTACTACAGCTTCTCCGAACTCGACGAGCAGTTCGCCGTCCACCCGACGACCGGAGTGATATCGCTGACTCGCCCGTTGAGCTTCGTCGACAAGTCGTACCACGAGCTTACAGTCCTCGCGAGAGATCGCGGGGCACCTCTGCAGGGGAGCGGAAAGCCCGCCTCGGCCGTTTTGAAGATCCACGTGAAGCAGGTCAACCTCTACTCCCCGGAGATCTACGTACAGCAGATACCGGATATCGTCGAGCAGTCCAACGCGGATATCTACGCCATCGTCCGAGTCGAAGATAAAGACAAGGGGATCCACGGGGAGATCGACAGCATCGAAATCGTCGACGGAGATCCCGACGGTCATTTCAGAATACGGCCCAGTAACATAGACGGCGTGCGGAAGAAAGGGGAGTACAACATCGAGGTTCTCAAGTTACTGGATCGGGAAACAGCGCCGCAAGGGTACAACCTTACTCTGAGGGCGATCGATAAAGGCACTCCTCCCCGGCAAGCGTTCAAGTCCGTGCAAGTCCACCTAGCAGACGTCAACGACAACGCTCCGATCTTCGATAGAGAGGTTTACGAGGTCGACGTCCCGGAAACCATCCCGATTAACTCCCCCGTGATCAGACTCAAAGTCTCGGACGCTGATCAAGGCAAGAACGCTCAGGTTATCTTGGAAATCGTCAGCGGGAACGACGGTGGCGAGTTCTACGTCAACCCGGAGACGGGTATGCTGTACACTGCCGCGGCTCTGGACGCCGAGACCAAAGTCCAGTACACTCTAGCAATAAGCGCCATCGACCAAGGCAACGCCGGAACGCGGAAACAGTCTTCCGCCAGGGTCAAAATTAACGTGATAGATACTAACGATAACAACCCCGTTTTCGAGCACCCTGCAATAGATGTCACCGTCAACGAAAACGAACCCTCGGGGACGTCCGTTATCAAAGTCTCCGCTAAAGACAAAGACAAAGGCGAAAACGCTTATATATCTTACAGTATAGCGAATTTGAAACCTGTGCCGTTCGAGATCGACCATTTCTCGGGCGTCATCAAAACGACGCAAGTTCTGGATTTCGAATCCTCCCGAAGATCCTACGTCCTCCGGATCAGGGCCTCCGATTGGGGCCTCCCGTACCGGCGCCAAACCGAGATGCAAGTCAAGATCAACGTCAAGGACATCAACGACAACAGGCCGCAGTTCGAGAAGGTCGACTGCCGGGGGCACGTTTCCCGCTCAACGCCGATTAACTCGGAAGTGATGACCCTCTCGGCGATAGACTTCGACGCCGGTAACATAATCAGCTATCGGATCGTGTCCGGGAACGAAGACGGTTGTTTCGGACTCGACGAGCAGAGCGGTATCCTGTCGGTCAAGTGTGATCTGGCCGACGTCGACGTATCGGAGCGAGACCTGAACGTGACGGCCACCGACGGCACTCATTTCGCCGACATCGTACAAATTAGGATAATGCTGAACGACCAAATATCTAAGAACGATCCGTGGACCAAGCAACCGATCGACGGCTTCGGCGAGAATAGTGACTTCCAGTGCAAAGACACCGGCGTGGCTAGAAGATTACAAGAAGTCATCGCCTCCGCTAACAAGAACAACGCTGCCGCGGATGATAGTCAGGAATTTGCCATGATGCCGAGCAGGTACGGAGAGAATCTGCACAGCCCGGAGTTCATCGACTTCCCTGTCGAACTGCAAGTCAACGAGTCGGCGCCATTCCCTTCAGTTCTCCTTCGAGTGCGCGCCAGGGACAGGGACTTGGGCTACAACGGTGCCTTGGTGTACGGTATATCCTCCGGTGATACAGACTCAGTCTTCCAGATGAACTCATCGACCGGCGAACTAAACCTAATCGGTCGTCTGGATCGGGAGAGAGAAACCAAGTACGTGCTGAACATCTCCGTGTTCGATCTCGGGAAGCCCCAAAAATCCGCCTCGAAGACTCTTCTAGTCACAGTTCTGGATGTGAACGACAACGCTCCGAAGTTCTCGAAATCCCTGGCTAGTTTCAGGGTCTCGGAGGTGGCCTTGAACGGCACCGTCATCTTCCGGTTGAACGCGACGGACGCCGACCTGGGTAACAACGGGAGGTTCCTCTACTCTCTTCTGACGGACACCCAAGACTTCGCGGTGGATCCTATCACGGGAGCGCTGACCGTCTCCGGGAATCTGGATCGGGAGAAGCAAGACACCTACGAGCTGAAGATCCGCGCCACGGACTGCGCCGACACCCCGGGCAACATCCACGCTCTCCACTCGGACGCTCTGGTGCGGATCCAGATCGACGACTTCAACGACAACGTCCCGACGTTCTCTGCGCACAGCTACACGGTCAAGGTCCGCGAGGACACGCCGGTAGGGAGCGTCGTCGTCGTTCTGATCGCCTCCGACCCGGACCTCGGCGAGGGGGGCCAGGTCCGCTACTCCATGGTCGGCGAGCTGGAGAGCAACAGCGCCTTCACCATCGACCGGCTCACCGGTGCGGTTCGGATCGTCAAGCCCCTGGACTTCGAGGACCGGCAGGTGCACAGCCTGTCCATCTCGGCGAAGGATAACGGGGACCCGCAGCTGTCGTCCGAGACGGTGCTCATTGTCGAGGTCGTCGACGTCAACGAGAACTTCTACGCGCCCCACTTCAAGGATTTTGTCGTGAATACGTCTGTGGCGGAGAACCAGCCGGCCGGGACGATCGTCACCACGGTCTCGGCTGCGGACGCGGACTTGCCCGGGGATAATTCCAGAGTCGGGTACTCTGTTCAGGATGGCTCCGGACTGGGCTATTTCTCGATCGATAATGAAGGTGAGTGATATTTATATATTTCTGTGTTTTATTGAGGAAATTTAATAAGAAATGAGTGGTGAATACCAACGTCGCAATCGGAGGAATGCATTTTCCCTGCACTGGAAAAAAACTCATTGGATCCAGAGTCCATACTCTCAAAAATATCGACAAGAAAAAGTACTCTTGATTCAATCAGAATCTAGCTTAAATCAAGAACCAAGCCTCTTAATTTAAGGGGATTTCGTTTTGATTCAATCGAAAATCCGACTGAATCAAGAGTATTTTTTCTTGTCAATGTTTTCAAGAGTCTGGACTCTAGATCCAATGTGTTTTTTTCCAGTGTGTCTCTCCATTGCTCCCTCTGCTGGATTCACCTCAAACTGTGCCAAACTCAACACAAAATTTGTGTTGGTTTGTGTTTCACTTCCTATATGAACCAAAAGTAACAGAAGAACACAAATCCTTTTATCAGTGTAGGTAATAGACTAACTAACGGTAACCCACGAGAGACCTCAAAGTCAGTCCATCATTTTCTCCCTCAGTCTATTGGAACCACCCATTTCAACCAATAGGATCGCTCCACACTCCCTATGTCTTCTCGGTCTATCACTCTGCCTATCAATTCCAACCCCCTGATAAAGAAAACTCCAGTCGTGGAAGCCGTACTTACGGGCTTTATAGACATACCGTCCTCGTTCCGGGCTCAGAGGCCGAAAATTCTGCGCGTAGCACCCGGAGCAGTCGAAGCTACGGCTCCGCACTGGAAAAAAAAAAAATATTGGATCTAGAGGCCAGACCCTTGAAAACATTGACAAGAAAATGGACTCTTGATTCAATCAGATTTAAGCTTAGATCAAAAGGAAATCCGCTCAAATTAAGAGGCTTGGTTCTTGATTTAAGCTTGAATCTGATTGAATCAAGAGTATTTTTTCTTGTCGATGTTTTTAAGAGTCTGGACTCTAGATCCAATGTGTTTTTTTCCCCAGTGCAGTTCCCGGAACTTTCGGCCTCTCCCCAGAACGGACAGTATGTCTTTTTAGCCCGTATAGTTTTATTTTTTTCAGTGCAATCGGCCCGCAGTTGAATGTTGGAGTCCAGAAAGTAAAAGCTCTTACCATGGCCAAAATACCAGTAGAAAGGTCTATCCTCGTCTCTAATCCTCTCTCGATAAGCCCTTTAATGGACGCCATTAGTCGCCGAGGCGCGTGGATCCCGACCTAAAGTACGCTCCACTTTGATTTCAGATGTTTATCGCCGCTGAATTATGCACGCTTTAAACCCAGCGTTGGCGCTCGCCTTATCCGGTGCTCGTGATTAATTCCGCGGATAAATATTTTCCGGCCGGTTATGAATAATCGCCATCTTTGAAGAATCGCGACGGGCTCGTGAAAGAAGCAACGAGGTCGGGGGCGCACGTCCGCGCTTTATTCATCTCCCTCGCGACGCTCGAGGCCTCCCGAGCAGCCAACGCGGTATCATCTCGTTCCTTCCGCTATATCCGCGCCGGGTCAGNGTCTCTCCATTGCTCCCTCTGCTGGATTCACCTCAAACTGTGCCAAACTCAACACAAAATTTGTGTTGGTTTGTGTTTCACTTCCTATATGAACCAAAAGTAACAGAAGAACACAAATCCTTTTATCAGTGTAGGTAATAGACTAACTAACGGTAACCCACGAGAGACCTCAAAGTCAGTCCATCATTTTCTCCCTCAGTCTATTGGAACCACCCATTTCAACCAATAGGATCGCCCCCCACTCCCTATGTCTTCTCGGTCTATCACTCTGCCTATCAATTCCAACCCCCTGATAAAGAAAACTCCAGTCGTGGAAGCCGTACTTACGGGCTTTATAGACATACCGTCCTCGTTCCGGGCTCAGAGGCCGAAAATTCTGGGCGTAGCACCCGGAGCAGTCGAAGCTACGGCTCCGCACTGGAAAAAAAAAAATATTGGATCTAGAGGCCAGACCCTTGAAAACATTGACAAGAAAATGGACTCTTGATTCAATCAGATTTAAGCTTAGATCAAAAGGAAATCCGCTCAAATTAAGAGGCTTGGTTCTTGATTTAAGCTTGAATCTGATTGAATCAAGAGTATTTTTTCTTGTCGATGTTTTTAAGAGTCTGGACTCTAGATCCAATGTGTTTTTTTTCCCCAGTGCAGTTCCCGGAACTTTCGGCCTCTCCCCAGAACGGACAGTATGTCTTTTTAGCCCGTATAGTTTTATTTTTTTCAGTGCAATCGGCCCGCAGTTGAATGTTGGAATCCAGAAAGTAAAAGCTCCCACCATGGGCAAAATACCAGTAGAAAGGTCTATCCTCGTCTCTAATCCTCTCTCGATAAGCCCTTTAATGGACCCCATTAGTCGCCGAGGCGCGTGGATCCCGACCTAAAGGACGCTCCACTTTGATTTCAGATGTTTATCGCCGCTGAATTATGCACGCTTTAAACCCAGCGTTGGCGCTCGCCTTATCCAGTGCTCGTGATTAATTCCGCGGATAAATATTTTCCGGCCGGTTATGAATAATCGCCATCTTTGAAGAATCGCGACGAGCTCGTGAAAGAAGCAACGAGGTCGGGGGCGCACGTCCGCGCTTTATTCATCTCCCTCGCGACGCTCGAGGCCTCCCGAGCAGCCAACCCGGTATCATCTCGTTCCTTCCGCTATCCGCGCCCTATTTTTTCCCGCGCCCCCGCCAAACTCCGAGTGGATCCCGAGCCATGTGCCTAGGTAACAAGATTTCGGAATTTCCTGCACAGGAAAAAAAACACATTGGATCGAGAGTCCGGACTCTTAAAAACATTGACAAGAAAAAATACTCGTGATTCAATCGGATTTTTGCTTAAATCAAGCACCAAGCCTCTTAATTTGAGCGGATTTCCTTTTGATTTTATCAAAAATCTGATTGAATCAAGAGTATTTTTTCTTGTCAATGTTTTCGAAAGTCTGGACTCTAGAACCAATGTGTTTCTTTTCCAGTGTGTCGTTCAGGATTTCCCAACTCTGTCAGTCGAGGCTTTTTCATAGAAGTCGTGAATGGGCCTGTTGGAAACTTCAGGCTTGGATACGCGCTCAAATTTCCGTCAATTTCCGATCAAAATGATGACAAAAATGGCGGTCAAATTTTTACAGGCCGCAAAAATTTGATGGTAAATGGTGCGCACCAGTCACCATTTAATCGGAAATTGATAGAAATTTGAGCGTGTGTCCAAGCCTTTTAGCGAGAGGACAAACAAGAGTTGTTTCTCACAGAAAATGGCGTAAAAGTCACAGGAAAGTCTAAAAAAGTCTAAAATTCACTGCTAACTTCTAAATCTTCTAAGTAGAGGCGTGAATCACCGGTAGTTTCCCGAAGGTATGGTAAAGAATCGATTATTAAGGTGTTCGTTGTAAACGCTCTGTCTATCGATACTTTTCCATAGGTTTGTTTAAATGGCATGCACTGGAAAAAAGTCACTTGGATCTCAAGTCCAGACTCTTCAAAACAATGACAAGAAAAAATACGCTTGATTCAATTGGATTTTTGCTTGAATCCAAAAGAAAACCGCTCAAATTAAGAGTTTTGGTTCTCAATTTAAGCGAAAATCCGATTGGATCTAGAGTATTTTTTCTTGTCAATGTTTTTAAGAGGCTGGACTCTAGATCCAAGCGACTTTTTTCCCAGTGAGATCAATCGATTTATCACAAAGCAATCCACGCCACTGCTCTCACTGTACTTGTAGGTACATCCAAAAATTGATTCAGTGATAATGGGTGAAATTTTCTTTCCACGAAAAAGGAAATTCGTCGCTATTACTTTTGTTGAAAGTTGATAACACTTCTCCGAAATAACGCCATAATTGTAAAAAAAGAGGGGAAAATAAGGGGAAACATAAGTCAAAAGTCCATAAGTATAATTGGATATGTTGAGCTTTCCTCTTCATATTCGTCGGAATGAAAACACTTTGTGCCAGCTTGGTTCAATTTGCAAACATTAATCTTTTTGGCTCTTTCCCCTTTTCTTTATACCCTTCTTTTTCTTCTTCTCAGCCTCCAGCATTAACTGGAATTGAAATGTACATCGCCGAAGGAAACTCCACTTTCGCATGTTTCTGTGTTACCTCCTTTTTTACTTCTTCATTCCAATTCCAGTCGGCTTGGCGTTCATGCATCACATCAAAGGCTTCGGCTCATTGGAGTCCCCTTTTCAGTAATGAAAATGTCTCGCGACGCGAGGAAAAAAAATCGAAAATCTTATTCGACTAGATTAAGAAAATCACTCAACACTTCCTTGGAGCGTATAAGCGAGGCGGCTCCATACATCGCTCCTCTGTCATTTCGTGTCGAGGTTGTCCTCGTCGGTAACCGAGGGTTTTGCTCAGTGGCGTGGAGTGAATTGCGATTTATCGATTGTTATGCCATTTAAACCTATGGTAAAGAATCGATTATTAAGGTGTTCGCTGCGAACACCCTGTCTATCGATCCTTTTCCATAGGTTTAAATGGCATAACAATCGATTTATCGCAATTCACGCCTCGCCAATGGTTTTGCTCTCCTCCCGTTGAGGCAACGAAGTGCCGAATGAATTGCCTGATAGGTATGCTGAAATTTGTTTTTTAGGGAAGGCCTCCTGGTTTACACAAAACTTCATTTCAAAAACTCTTGAAAATTACCAGTTACACAATCTCATCGGTATTTCCATTAAATTTTAGGTACTATATGTTGTTTAATTGCAAATCCAGGATCTTGTCAGACTTTTATTTGGGCGTATTTGTGCTAATTGGAACTATGAGCGAGTGGAAAAATGGAGTGTGCTCGTGGTGAGCTGGACAAGAAACAGTGTAAAAGTGGATGTAGTTGCTTTCGAGAAAATGGAAAAGCGGGATTTTACATTAAATCAAAAGGAACTGAGCGCTAACTCGTGAGCCGTGGGCATGTGACAAGAGCGCTGCGGACATTGCTCATGAGTTAGCGCTCAGTTCCTTTTGATTTAATGTAAAATCCCGCTTTTCCATTTTCTCGAAAGCAACTATATCCACT